AATAAATAAATAAATAAATAAATAAATAAATAAATAAATAAATAAATAAATAAGTAGATCTTTAAAAAAAAAAAGAGTTCCTAACAGAGATCACAGGTGTGAGTCACAACACTGATTTTTTTTTTTTTTTTTTTTTTCCTAGACAGGGTTTCTCTGTGTAGCCCTGGCTGTCCTGGAACTCTCTCTGTAGACCAGGCTGGCCTTGAACTCATAGAGATCCACCGGCCTCTGCCTCCAGATTGCTGGGACAAAAGGCATTCGCCACCACACCCAGCTTCACCTCGCTAATTTTTGTCTATAGCGAGTAGCCGGCAGCAATGATCTCATTTAAAACTGCAGCCATGTGACAGACACCCCTGAGTTCCTATTTAACAGGGAGGGAAGGCCCCCCCCCGCCCCCCGCAGCCCCCCCCCCCCCGGGGCCCCCCCCCCCCCCCGATGGCTTTCGATGCTGTAATAAGACACTGGCCAAAACCAAGTTGCCGAGGAAAGGGTTTAGCTTACATTTCCAGGTAACAGCTCTTCATTGAGGAAAGTCAGAAACCCGGGGGTGGGAGGCTCTCTAGGCCCACCTGCCTGCAGCTCGGACGGAAGCTGTCAGCTGGTGCTCCGGCCGTGCATGCACATGGCCTCACCCTCTGACTGAAACTGCCAGCAGGCCCCCAGCACAGGCTTTCCTTCATAAGCCTTGTCTTGGCCATGCTGTCTCATCACAGCCGTAGAACAGTGACTAAGACGCCTGGCTGGCTCCCCTTCTTTCTCCCACAGCCCAGCCCCAACCGCCGAGGGGTGGGCACCCACAGTGAGCTGGGCTCCTCAGCATCGATTAGCAATTAAAAAAAAAGCCCGCTCCTCCCCTCCCCACGAGGCCACAGGCCGGTTTGATGGAGGCAATTGCTCGAGGTTTCGCCCTTCCCAGGTGACTCTAATGTCAACCAGGTTACAGTTAGTTACATGTTCCAGGGGTTGTTGGAGTGATGATGATTAAACCCAGGTCTGAAACTGAGTCGTGGGTTTCCGCATTGACCAGCCCGTGTCTAAATTGAGGACGATGCGGGGCCTGGGCCTGGAATGTAGCCTCTGTTCTTGGCATTACTAAGGGTTCAGCGATGGAAAGTCAACGTGCCCAATGCAGGAAGTTGGGGGCGGGGCCAGTCCCTGCCTTCTAATGGGGTGGGTTCTGTCAGCAGCTCCTTCATCACACCTGAGGAGCTCAGGCCTCTTTGCCTCCCGGGGATGTGCCTCGGGGCCGCGTTCTTTGTGTTTTGGCGCCACCTGGTGGTCGTACCTTAACACTGCTACGAGAAACGGCCTGCTTGAGCCAGCGCGTGCCCTTCGTAGAACCAGGGATTTGCCTGGTGCTTGGAAAAGACATGGAGATGCTGGACAGGACCCAGGCCCAGGCTCCTCACTTCCCTGGGTGTGGCGTGCACCCCACTTTCTGTGCTTCTAGACTACTATCCGCACTTCCACTCCAGGCCCCTCCCACTCAGTCTTCACATTGCTCCAGGGAACAGCTTTGGGAACCTTTCAAAGCGAGGTCAGGTGTCAGGAGGCAGAGGCAGGTGGGGCTCTGGGGCTTGGGGCCAGCCTGGTCTACATAATTAGTTCTAGGACAGCCAGGGCTATAGGAGACCCTGCCTCAAAACAACCCCCTAATTAACCCCTCCTGAAAGGCCTATAGCACCACACTTGGGCTTTATTTGTTTGTTTTGAGGATTATTTTAATTTGTGGGTATGTGTGAGTGTGTGTGTGTGTGTGCGCGCGCGCGCGCGTGCAAAATATGTGCCTTCTCTCCCTGATAGGGGGTTCGTTGCTTGATCAAACTGCACATCCTCCCTTACTTGGGACACTGTCTCAGGTGTGACATACTTATCTCTGTCTTAGGTCATCACATGACAATGCTCACCTGGAAGGTCAGAGGTCACATTTCAGCTTAAGGTCTGGAGTTCCATCCCTGGCACCGAACAAACTCAGTGTGGTGGTGCAAACCTGGAATCTCCACTCTTGGGAGGTAGAGGCTGGAGGATTAGAAGTTTAAGGTCATCCTCAGTTGTACCACAAGTTCAAGGCCAACCTGGGCTACATGAAAATCTGTCTTAAATAAACAGAACAAAAACTGAAACAGTCTTGGGTGCTGCAGTGCATTTTCTCATCAGTGTCAATCACTGTAACAGAATTCTGTTTAAGGCAACAATGTATCAATTGGCGCACTGGTGCAGGCCTCCAGTCCCAGCACTCTGGGAAGCAGAGGCAGGTGGATCTCTGTGAGTTCGAGGCCAGCCTGGAATACGAAGCAAGTCCAGGACAGCCAAGGCGACACAGAGAAACCCTGTCTCAAAAAAAAAAAAAACCAAAAAAAACAAAAATACTGACGTCTGCAGATCAGGACCTGGGGATACAGGGGAAACTGACAGATGTTAGGTCTATGTTCCTTGGTATGTGTCCTCGGGAGAGGGGTGGGCAGCAGCCAGTGCCACCTCTATCCCATGTGTGTGTTGGTCCATGATGCCACCAGGAGCCAGGAGAGAGGCCTGGAGCACTCTTCCTCGACAGCCTGGGAAAGAACCAACCCTGTCAACACCTTGATTTCAGCCTTTGGGCCTTGAGAACTATGAGATAACGCATTTCTGTCGTGTCAGGCAGAGTTTGTGGTATCTGCTATAGCACTCTAACAAGCTGACACACCCTAGTCTGTGTGGACTAGGAGGCAAGGAAGGGTTTCCTAGAGAAACTGACGTTTTGCTTTGAGGGGACTGACTTGAAGGATGGGTAGGAGTTTATGAGGCAGAGAAGCCAAGGGAGAGCACTGTGGACAGAGAATGGTAAAAAAGGGTTGACTCTTTCCTTTCTTTTTTTTGAGACTGGGTTTCTCTGTGTAACCGTGGCTGCCCTGGACTCCTTTTGTAGACCAGGCTGGCCTTGAACTCACAGACATCCACCTGCCTCTGCCTCCCTGAGTGCTGGGATTACAGGTGTGCATCACCAAGCCTGGCTTGTTGGCTCTTTCTTGACCCTCTTCAAAAGTCCCTATCCTACCCAAACGTCTGAGACTGGAAA